TAGAGAGAGAGGAAGGGAGAGAGAAAAGAGGGAGAGAAACATCGATGTGGGGTTGCCTCTCCAGTGCCCCCCGCTGGGGACCTGGCCCACAACCCAGGCCTGTGCCCTGACCATGAACAAAGCTGGTGACCCTCTGGCCAGAGGGCCAGAGCTCAGCCCACTGAGCCACACCAGCCCGGGCTAATTAAAGAATTTTTAAAGCATTATTATTGCTTTCAGTATTAGAGAACATTAACATAAATTGGTCTTTAAAATATCAAGGAATAAAAGAAACTTTATAAAAGAGAAATAATTATAATAACCGATTACATTTTTTAAATTTCAAAATAACTTTCTGAATAAGCATTTTTTTAAAAAAAAATATGTAAAACTTGTTTTTGAAATTAGTTGACTCTTCAGCAAAATAATCATAAGCAATTAAAGGAAAATAGTTATGAAACATTTGAATTTATTTACCCAGGAAGCTGTATCTAAACCACTACATTCTCCTCTGGTTATGAAACAAACTGTTGAGAAATGCCTGTGTGAACAGAAAAATAGCATATTACCCTGGCCAATAAATAAACCTCCCTAAGAATGTCGCCGTTACTAAGTTCAGCCACTGGTGTTTTCCGTCCACTCATTCACCATTCTGATGGCCCCACGGATTTTACAAGGTGAAATTCATGCGAATGTTGAACCTTGGAACATTCCGCAGAGGCTACTCATGACAGAGCTCACTCTTTCTCAGCGGCGGGGTTCCCCAGCAGAGGCATTGCTCTCGCGTTGGTGCAGGTAACGTGTGTTTTGGCGGGGGGGTTGTCTCCTGCGCATTGTAGGATGTGGAGCAGCATTCTTGGCCTCTACTGACTAGTGCCTGTAGCATCGCCCTCCCACCCCAGACTGAAAACAAAAGTGTCTACAGACCCCGCCAGACGACGCTGGGGGAAAGCCACTGCCGGGTGACAATGCCCTACGAGATGGCCACTGGAATATCTGAGTAGGACATTTTAGTGCCTTGGCATTTCCTCAGCAGGCAGTAAATGTACTTGTTATTTTTGGCTTCACCTACCTGGTGCTGTTTTTGTTTTTGCAATCATGTCTGGGAAAAAAGAGTGGGAATTAATATCTCTGAGGTCATTTTGTCCTTCTGCAAGGACCAGAAGTCAGTTCCATTGATGAATAAGTGGCAAGGAAGTGGCTCTCGGTGCTCAGTGCAAGACGTCAGGGGCACAGGGTCCGTGGTGTTGACTGTGCCGATATGACCGATTGTCCACATTGGCATTCAATTAGGAACTTATCTCAAAAATCTTTTCTAAGTCCCCTGAACTCAGATTTAGATATTTGCTATTTTAATGTAATTCATGTGACAAACTAAAAAAGTGACTTTTTAAAAAAAATAAAAAGGAAAGTGTATGCTATAAATAATATAAAAAGTCCACTCTTCATGATGGCATTATTTTCAAAATGTATAATAAAACTTTTCTGGGAATAGGCAAAATTGAATGAAAATTTAAAATGGGAACGTTCCAAACACAAACTCCTGATGTTAAACTAACACTCAGATACTACCCGCTCCCTGGGTCATCTATCCAGCACATCAGGTTGGCGCAGACATGGATGGCGGAGGACCCGTGGGGCAGAGGGTCCTGATCCAACACCTTTGCTGACACTTGAGGTCAAACGATGTGCTCAGGTTCTGTAAAACGTGCCCACGCTGCCGTTCCTGGGAAGAATACCGCCTGGTTTTCCACATTTATTTATGATTCTCTACATCATTCGGCGACCTAACCCAAATTTTGCTTTCAAAGGGTAGCTTTATTTTGAACTTTTTACACTGTTGTTCAGCTATAGTTGTCCCTGTTCCCCCTCCACTGCTCCCCGCTGCCCTGTCCACCCCTGCTCCCACAGTCAGCCCCCCCGCGTCCTTGTCCATGTTTAAGTAATTAGAATATGCTTTCAAAATTGACGCATTTGCCTAGCATGGATTGTTGGTGGAAGGAAACAGAACAACCTCAAGTTCATCTGTCTCGCAAATGCCATTGTTGAGCAAGAAGCGATGAGTAAGTGAGTCCTTGGCTTTTTGGGGGGAAGAGTAACTTCAGCCACCACCGATTCTAGTGACTGGCTCTGATCCTGTTTTCAAAGAAGAGAGAAAGAACACATGTTGGGAGCTTAGCTATGGACCTTGATGGCTGCCTCCTGGTGGATTGACTTCCACTGATAATTTGCTTTTGTGGGACAAAGAGATGAAGGCGTTGGATAATATGAAAAATACTTCCTTTTAAAAGTTTTAGTAAATTTCCTATCTTGTTAAACTGATCATTCGACCCAGTAATCTTTCCTCTGCTTCATTTTATGAAATTGTCCAGGACAATGTACTTTTTTAATATATTAAATACTACTTAAGCCTACCTTTTAAAGATAGCGTGTGCATTTTCAGAAAAAAATATGAACGTCCCTTATTTTTCTTTTGAACATTGAGTTATTTTTCCCCTCCCCCCCAAATATAGATACATAGGATGATTAATCAGATTTGCCTGGGGCTCTTTGCGGCCACTTGGTGAAAATGCAAGAGTGTGACCCACCATTTCTTCGATGGACACTTGCCCGTTCTTTCAGGTCTGGTTATGGGTATTTGGCAAGGAGTACATACTTTTAGGTGAGAAGACGTTTTCCATAATTCAACCATTTGCATTTCTCCATGCGTTTTCAACATCATAAAACTATTAAGTGTTAAACTTACATAAAGCGTAGCCTTTAACTTGATTGTTGCCTCAACGGGCTGTTGACACTGGACTTACACGTCTTTTAGAAGTTCATTTGTGCTCCTTGGTAAATCCAGGACCAGTACCTTAGTCCTGGACGGCTGCCACGCTGCTCCATATGTGGGCTTTCTCCCTCACAGGCACCTGAAAAAAACCCCAGTCAACGCAGAGCAAAGAGAGGAAAACTGGGATTTGCAAACTAGGTGTGTAAAATGCGAAGTTGGTTAGCGGCTGCGGTCCATGGGGCCGGTGCTCCTTTCCTGCTACGATTCATGATAACTAAGGAGAATTGTAATGAGCAAGTGAAACCCCAAAGCTCATTCTTACCACGTCACTTCTAGACTCAGAGGTCTTGCTTCATTCTTCTCCTGCTAGAGTGAGAAGGAAGTGAGTTCTAGGTATACAGATGATCCGGGAGGGGCTTGTTCTGGACGGTAGCTCCCTGCCTTTGACGTTGCACGCTCAGCTTGGACTTCCATAGCATCTCGAAGTCCTTCGCGGGATACCACCTGGGCCGCTGTTCGCAAATGCATGCCTGCTGCAAGTGGCGTACGAATCCGGGCTGGAACCTCCTCGTTGGTCTCTTCAAGGCAGAATGCGAAGCTAAATTCATGTTTGGATTACTTGAGTCTTTTCATTATAGTTCAATACCCATTTGTAAGATACTCTCTATACTAAGCCGTACCACATCCCTTTGGAAAAGATTTTAAATGGAATATATTGACATTCAGGCAAATGGCACAAACACCCCACAAAACAGTGGTGACCATAAGACTTGAGAAAGCCTTGAGAAAGAACCTGACTTTCACATGGATGGCCCTTCCACGTGAAAGATCGCAAGGTCTCCCTGGTTCTGAACTCATTCTATGTGTCCTCAGAAGTGCAGTGTGCGCGTGCGTGTGCCATGGTCTGCTGGCAGCACCTGTCCTCAAGGTTTTGGTCTTTCCCTGATTCACAGAACAGCCCCATCCCTTGACTGGCCCTGCTCAGTTCCTTAGAAGCTGCTCCTTCAGAAAGAAAATGCAGAAGAAGGATCTAAAGAAATCGCACTCACCTGAAATGGATACACAATTACACTGAATGTAAACTGTAATTGGAAAAAAAAAAAAATTACAAGCAAAAAAATAAATACAACCCCGAACTGGTATAGTACTGACAGTTGCAGTTCACAGTGGTGGAAAAATTTCGATTTGTCTAAAAATCAATCTCTGTACTTTGCGTTTGCTCCCTAAAGATGTCATAATGATAAATAAGCCCACCGCTCACTACCACATTTATAACACACTCCTATGCCATATGTTTATTTGAATGATCACAAAAACTCTGAGGAAAAGAGTATTCTAGTTGACCCTTGAACAACGTAGATTTGAACTGTGCAGGTCCACTTGTAAGCAGACTTTTTTTTCAATAAATGCCTGTGCTGTTACCAATCTGCCATGTGCATTATTCTTCACGATTTTATGGAGGCGAGAGGAGCATCCACGGATTTGGTATCTGTGGGCGGCCTGGACCCATCCCCCGCACGCCAGGGGAAAACGGAGTTTTCAGAGTCAAATGTGACGCGCCAATTTTTCGCTGTGCAGTGGTCTGTGCTTCTGACCCCCGTGACAGAGACAGCTATTTGTAAGCAGAATTCTGATCTATTCCATGTCTTTTTCATACCAGAATAAATCTCAATGATCAATTTCATTGGAAATACTGGAGGTTCTGCCAATTTATAAGCCTTATTGTGATGCTGTTGTTGGAATCCCATTCTTCATGAGATTATTGATTCAAAAATAGCTTCCGTAAAACTGATTCCTAATTTCAAGCATCCTGCGTAATTATATTTTATTGATGCTGATAACTACAAATGCAGCAAAGCATGAGAATGAATTTCAGTTTAATTTTATTTCTGTTGGAAGGTAACACAAGCTTGACTAAATTTTTAAACTTATAAACTTGCCATTTATGTAAAACAACTATAAATAAAACATGCTGCCTCAAAAATTATTTTTAAAATTACATCACAAAATTCTTGCCTTAGAAACAAAATATATACTCGAATGGTGGGGATTGATTTACTTCTGATTGTGGTGATGATTCAAATTAAAGTATGAATAGTTTACCATGAGGCATTATATGATTCAGGGATGTCATAATATTTTACTTGGGGTCCAACCCATATAACATTAAACCTACCTGTTTTTCAGTGCATCTGTGTACGAATGCTTCACTCCGACAAGTGCTTGACCTGGTATGTTCCTTCGACAGGCTTATGCGGGCAAAGATCTGGAGGAGCAGCTGCGGGCGGTGTCTAGTGTGGATGAGCTCATGACTGTTCTCTACCCGGAGTACTGGCAAATGTACAAGTGTCAGTTACGGAGAGGAGGCTGGCGACAGAGTGAAGAACAGCCCAGCGTCAATACAAGGACAGAAGGCACTATAAAATTTGCCGCCGCACATTATAATGCAGAGATCTTGAAAAGTAAGAATGGAGAAATACACACATCTATATATATAAGGGTCGTATATCAACCCAGTGAAGGTGGCCAGCCTTGGCCTTTAATTTCAGCATTTGTACCACTGAATATTTGGGGGCCAAAAGGAAATATTATTTTCCAAATACAGAACTTTAGGATTTCACTGAGTGGTTGAGATGATTTTTTGAAATAGGTGTAAAGAGAGGAAAGTGCATGCCTATCAATGTACTGTAATTTTTTTGAATTAGGTGAAATGTCATTACAACATTTAAAATCATATAGATGTATTTTACACTGTGAGTTTAATCATGCAAACATTCTATCTTGCAAAATAATTGCATGTAAATTTTCTTGCTGATTTGGATATAGAAATGCTTAATTTCTCAATCATTCCAACTCACCTTTTCAAATCCTACTCGTCGCCTTGTTGTTTCACAGATAACTGGCTTGAGTGGGGACTTTGGCAAAGTCCCGGAGAGATCCAGAAGAAAGGGTCACAAAAAATTGGGACATTGCATAAAATGTCATAGTATAAATTGGTGGATTACTTCTAAAAAGTAATTCCCTTCAGTTATTAGATACTAATTTCTTTGAAGGTTTGAGATTGCAACGTATTTTCCAAACAAAGCCAATCAAACAAAATGGCTTCATGGTTAAATAATGAATAGTTTGTCCTTTTTTTCCCCAAAGAATTTTATTTTAGGGGAAATATGGGAAAATAGACTAGAACATTTAAGACATACATCATTTGTAATGCAGTATTTAAAAAATCAACAGTGCTGTGAGTAAACCACTAAGTCATTGGAAGCAAAATTCCAAGAAAGAACATGGAGGGAACAGGAAAATTTGACTTTTCTGAAAAAATGAAATTTGGGATACCTGTCCCACTTGATGGAAAGCACCTTTGTATTTCAAGTAGCTACCACCAAGCACGACGTTACCCAAAGTTGCCAAATAGCCTGCCTGAAACTGATTTTTGTATTGAGCCCAGAACCAAAACCATGTTCTCGTTGACACCTCAGTTGAAAAAGAAAAATCAAAACATGTTTATATTTGCTTGGAGACCATGAAAACAGTACATGTTACAGCAAATGAGCATGACTCCATCTCTGCAGATCTTGTCAACATCTCCATGTTAAATTTGTGTTTTCTTCAGTCAAGAAAACCAAACATAAGGGCCGGGGAATACTGGTGTTATTTTAAGAAAGCATAATCCTCATTTAGCTTGTTACACGGCTATAGCAATTAGTTAAAAAAAAAAAAAAAAAAGAGAAGTCCTTAGCTGCTGTGTTAGGTATGACATTATATGCATAGGCCAGCTCACAGGGCCGTTTAGGATGCCGTCAATTATTTCTTTCAAGTTGTCTATGAAATGTCAATCTTAAAGTCTGCCATCGAGTGTAAGTGACTTCCGACTGCTGTGGGCTGTTTCCGCCTCGGTGCCTTCTGTGTAACCTCTGGCCTTCCCTGTGACTCGACAGGTATTGATTATGAGTGGAGAAAGACTCAATGCATGCCACGTGAGGTGTGTGTGGATGTGGGGAAGGAGTTTGGAGCAGCCACAAACACCTTCTTTAAACCTCCATGTGTGTCCGTCTACAGATGTGGGGGCTGCTGCAACAGCGAGGGGCATCAGTGCATGAACGCCAGCACAGGCTACCTCAGCAAGACGGTAGGTGCCTCAGCGCCCGCCCCCGGCCCCCACCGCGCCCTCCGAGCCCTGTGCTTGTGACACCCGGGTCCCTTTGCCGTACTGTCCTTCCGTTCGCGGGTTCTGGTGTCCCCTTTTGGGGGATGAAGTTAACTCTTCAGTATTTTGTGGTTTTGATGATATGCTATCACAAAGCAACCGATGCTTTATGAACTCACACCGTGGTATCAAAGTCGAGTGAAGGAAATAATACATATGCATATGAATGTGTTTACGCGCCCATCCACACACGTACACACATACATGTATGCCTACACATACATCCACACGTACATACATCCATGCACACACATTGATCTTTGAGGACAAAGATTTTCATTTGGCAATAAGTTACTTTTAAACGCTCACGTTTTCTTGCCAAGATATTACTTTAAAAGAGCTAAGTCTTCGGATTATAGAGATGAAGCACGCATTACATTCGAAACATGTCATTACAAGTGTGTGCGGCCTTGAACCAGTGGTCTAGTATTGACAGAAACCATCACACTGAACACTTCATTGTGTTTATGTAGAAAGACGGGGAAGTCTTCTGACGCTTACTCTCCAGTGGTTTGAACCACCTGTCAAGTCTCGTCATATTAGACGTAAAGCTTCTGATACATAACCAGGAAACCCCGTAGGGTTCGGTTAGGGTAGGGGATTTTCAGAGCAGACGCACAGCCCTGCCCTGCAGGCCTTGGGAGGCAGCGGAGGCCCCGTTTACGTGCTGATGACAATCAGGCAGCGCTGTTTAAAACTGTGTGTGCCCGTGACCCTGCACTCATTGGAGAAGCCCAGAGGCAAAGGCTGGGCTGATGCACACGGCCCCCAAAAAGACGAAACGGGCTGCGGGCAGACTCTTCCAGTCGGTTCTGAACTGGAATAGCAGAGGTGAGCCAGATGCATTCAGAGCTGTCCTTTGACCTTTAGAATGAAAAATGAGATGATTTCAAAATGTGGTGTTAGATTTGATTTGTACAAGGTGGGATGACAGCAAATTAACAGTTTTAATTAAATAATGTCTACACTTAGAACATAAGTTTCCTTTCATAAAAACTTTAGCTGGTCTACATAATTCCCACTAATAAAATCTACTCTCATTTTAATAATGACATGGAAATGCAAGTTAAAATTACTACCTCAGTTGCTTCCACTGCCTTTTCCCATCCAGTTGAAAATCTCTAAAATTTTTACTGTAATAATATGGTGCCTGAGCTTGGAGACATTGTCCAAACTACTTTAAAATATATATATATTTCTTTACATTTCTCATATGCTTGACGAACAAGCCATTTCAGATACTAAGACTTGCAAGAGGAAACAAAAAACAAATTATAAACCTGAATTCCTTTCTTTATTTAAACCTGAGTCTAAATGCTAAAAATTAAAAGGTGATGCTTTGGGGTCTTTCATCATTTCTGTTATTATCATAGTAACTTGAAGCATAGCCAGAGTAGTTTATTCTTTATTATTTTCTATAAATACAGATGAATAATACAGGTTTTATTCTTGTATGTGTTAGCAGGAAAAGCAATAACAGTCTAACTACTTTCATACATTTAGAAACTTTATCAGTAGAAGAGTTGTCTGTGGGTAAATGTGATAATAGTTCAGTGCTTGATAAACTCTAATATTTTAAAGGAATAATAAATCATCATAATGTTAGAGCAACAAAGCTTCTCCTTTGTTAATTTCTTTTCTCCCCTCAAATCTTTATCAAAAAATTATTGAGAATTTCTTAGCTAAGAAATTTTTGATTTATACATATTATATACTATTCTGAAAAAATTATACTAATTTAACAGGGTTTGCTGGATATTAAGTGTTTATCTTATCATAATCCTGAAGTAAAAAAGGTTTTTTAAAAAAACCTTTAATAAGTGTTGGAACTAAAAGCCTTTTCTGTTAAAGGGAAATATTTATGCCAGTAGAATATTCCCCAAAACACATTTATTTTAAAAAGATATTAATATTAAAAATGTTACTGGTTTTATATTCAAGCCAAACTCAGTAAAAACATTTTTGGCCTTCTGAGACTCTTGAATGAAAGTCATTTTAAAAAAAAATGAAATATGGGTGATTTAGGAATTAAAATAAATTTGTGGAATACATTTAATAGTGTATATTTTTAAATAACTCATTTAAGTAATATGATCTGTGTCCTAAATTATATCATGTATTACTATGGTGTTTCATTTAAAGCAAATGTCAGTTTAGTTGCTCTTTCAAATACTGATTGAATTTGCCAAATACCAACGGGCCACGTTTCTTTTAAAAATTGAAAGACATGGATAGGCTCAGAGATAAGTTTTGAAGAATTGTTTCATCAAATAAAACAAAATGTGTTTATTAAGAGCTCATCACTATCATGTTATAAAGGCCCTATTAAATTTAATTGTGAGAGGAAAGTTTCCTTTCCAACGGCTCACGTTCTACAGATGTAGAGTTGAATAATAATCATTGTCGTGTTGGGATTTCTTACTTCATTTGCTCATTTCTTGAAATTCCTGGGTTTTTTATCGTTAATTTATTTTCTGGGTGAAAATCAGTTGCCAACTGACAATCCCAAAGCTATTTCTGCTACTAATTTTTCCCCGCAAATTTTATTTTGCCGTGTAAATCCAGAAAAACTATTTCTAAATGGATCTTCTTTTAAAAAGGTGCAGGTTTTATAGCATGCTATTTTATGCAATATGACTTTGATGTTTAAATTAGAGCTCACTTTCACGTTTAAATTAAATATTTCAAAACGTAGCTCCGTCGCCCCCGTGTTCTGTGTACCAGTCCCTCAGACAAGCTTTTCCTCCCCCACGCGAAACTCACCCCAACCAACACACCACGATCAGAAGCACTTGGTCTTCTGCTTTCACCTCCCCACGTGACCTCCTTCTAGGCAGAAGCGTGGGGTCGTTTTTGATGACGCCTCCTTCCTCCTCACAAGGCCAGTCTGTCCCCCAGCTAAAGGCTGGATTCGTCCCCCGGGGTCTGGATTCCGCACGTCCGCCGCCGTCCCTGCAGCGGCGGACACCGGGACGCGCGTGTCCGCGGAGGAGCTCCCGCCGCCGCCACGCCCTCGCTGCCCTTCCTGCTCTCCTGTCCGCCTTCCTCGTCTGTTCTCTAAACTTGTGCCCAAGCGAGACATGTGAAAAAGCAGCACACCTGTTTGCTGTTGGTAGTCTCGGGCACGAAGGCCTGGCAGTGAGTTCCCACGGTTCTTGGAAAAAGCCCCAAATCTTATCACGGCCGGACTCGCAGGCTGCCTGCCTGCGCCTTGCGCTGCGGGGTCAGGGGACGTGGCGGCCCCTGGACCTGACCTTCTGTGCTGCCGATGCGCGGCTTTCAATTCCTGCCCCCCTGCCCCCACCCCCGAGCCTTTGCACGCACACCCTTTCGGCGTTCCCTGCCTTCCAGCGCCCTCTGGCGGGGGGGCAGTTCCCTGGAGCTGGCGTTCTGGTGGTCTCACCTCCAGCGCCACGCGGCGCAAGCCAGGCCTTGAGGGAGATTCTTCGGACCTCTGTGACGTGCGGGGTCAGAAACGGATGCCCCCTCCTAGTTGCCCACATCTGTCTTTCATACACTTACTACAGTTTATAACCTGATAGCCTATCGTTGCATAGTCATCGTCAGTTGATTAACGCCTGTTTTCCCCTAAAGGGCAAAAACAGGTCTGTTTTGCTCACTGGTTACTGGAGAGCCTGCCACAGAATTAGTGCTCGAGGCCTTTTGGAACCACATTAAAACTATGGGTCCTTCAGTGTGAAAAAAATACCAATACAGACACGTCCGCAGCATTTTCCCACAGTTTCAAGAAGTTGTTTCCCTGACCCCCTAATCCTTACCTGTTGAACCAGATTTTCACACTTCTTTCTTGATGATTAATAATAATAATAATAATGGATTAGCTCACCTGTGTAATTTTTAAATGAACTGATCCTTTTGCCTAACAAAAGACTATGCTCTAAACTTGAGCTCCACGTTTTAAAAATAATAGTGTCTTTAACCTATAGGAGAGGAAATGCTCCCCCATTTCCCCATGCATAGTTAATATGTGCAAAAGTAAACATTCTATGCCTCTAAATACATGCTCACTTTCGATATGTGCCAAATGGATAACAGGAGCACCTTAGGCAAAATCTTAATTTGGAATACAGAGTGTCAGCTCATTGTGAGTAAACAAAGCAAGTAAGTTAGTGTCAACCATTTTTCTGTGACCACTTCATAGTCATTCTGACATTGATATAATTAAGCCCCGTGTTTGCCTGGTCGCTGTCAGAGTGAGAGTATTTATACAAGGATCAGAGTGTACGCAGGGCAGCAGACAAACCGCTCTGCCACTTGGAGACCTCAGGGGGTTGATTGAGTCTTTAGAAGGTAAAAGGCTTCAGGGGCAAGGTAGAGAGCAGTTGATGCCAAGTTCAAGGTACGTGCAGGTGAAATGGACTTTGGTCCAGTATCCTCAGTACTTAAGCATCCAATCTATGTGTTTTTTGTAAGAAGACTGTCTGCTTCATGTCATGTAGGATCGGTTCTCACTCTCCGTCATCTTCTCTCACCTCCAGGCTTCCCAGAACCTAGGGGTCCTTTTCTCACAGGTGGATCATGTGGATAATCTCACCTGCTCCCTCTCAGTCATCCGCTCATATGAAGAGTCAGGATTGGCCTATACAATTTTTGAAGTCTAGCTGGTGTTTGCTGTTGCTTTATGTTGTTTTCCAATTTTGTTTTGATCCTTTGCTGCAGTTGTATTTGTAAATTGGTATCATTATAAAAGCAAAGTAATTTTCATTTCCGCATGTCCATCATTTAAAGCTTTGCACATTTTTAGAATTAAAAGCGTTAGGTTAATTCAAAACGAGGTACTGAGTCCTCAGGGTTCTGTCCCAAGATCCTCTTCCCTAACTCCTGAGACATCCTCCTCCTCAAGTCTCTTCGTGCTGATTCCTCCCCCACTGTGATCCCTGGACCACTCTTCTCCCCCAGTT